AGCAGGAAAAGACAGGTAGTTCAAATAGTAACAGATCTACATCCCTGCTTAATCTCTGGCATGAACACATCACAGTGCTCTAATTTGTGTCTAGTGGTGTGGACAAAGGATGATTTAGCCAGCAGACTCTTTACAATTAGGAAAGCACAGTAAGTTTATGCAAAAGATTTACTTCAGCTGATCTATAATAGCACTCTGATGCAAAGTTCTTGAAAAGCTAAAATCATTCAGCGCTGAAATTTAAAGCAAAGATACTGACCATTTAGCAGACGTTTCAAAAGGGCAAAGGATTATCTGAATTGATACAGAAAGAGAAATCTGTTGCAGAGAGAGGTATGTTCACTTTATGGTGTAACTTATGGGCTACAGAACAACCCACCTGTTCCTGAGGATTTTTTAATGCTTCTGAAAAGTAAGTAAATTGCAGTATTCATTTGGAAGTGCTGAAAATCATTCTGTTAGTTGTTTAGACAGTACTGCAAACTGTATCTAGAAACAGCCCCTGCTGGGCAGCCTACCCACCAAAACAAGTGCTGCTCCTAATCGCAAAGAAATTTTAAGACTTAGAACTGGACGCGGCTTACAGACTATGTGCTCTGAGAAAATAAACACTGACAGAGCCAGTAGTACCAGAAACTAGATCTACACTAATGACATCAGAAAACAGAAAAGAATCATGGTTAAAAAGCTGCCTTCACATAGTATGTGAACATTATCTGCTCTTGGGAATTACGTCCAGCTTTTAGGAAGAGTCTTCCAGAACCATGTGGACTAAAGAAATCTGTCCTGTATGTTAAGTTTCCTTGAAGAAGGACAGGCGTGTGGGAAGCTGTTAAACTTTTACAACCATTATTTTCCTCATTTCAAGGGGTAAAATCTGTTTTGTATTGGCAGAAACAAAAATTCTAAACTAAAAATTCTAAAATTCTATTAAAAATATATTGTATCAATTCTGAGATAGCATTCACAGTTACAGAAAAGGGGATGGAAGAGGTAAACTCAGTTAAGCCTTGTACCAAGTTTGATCTGATAATAAAGCTGGAAAAAAGGAGCATTTAATAAGGTGGCAAATGATGGGGATCTCACTACCTGGCTCAGGAAGATCTTCAGGTAGATGAGAATGTAACAAGATAGTCTTTTCCAATAGCAATCATTAACATCTTCTCTCAGAAAGATTACTTTGTGAATACATGCAGGAATGGTAAGGAATCTAAAGTTTTAAGTCTCACTGACGTCCAATATTTACAAACACTTGCTTTCAGTTAAATTACATTTAACAGCTTTACGGAGCCAAGATGCTTTCTTGAACTCAGTCCTCATTCAGTCGTACTCAGAAGTATATGCACCTCCAAAACATACAAACTTCAGCTTGCAACTGCCTAATGAAATGGCCCTTGTTTTCATAAACATACAATGACGTTGCAAAGATAACAGCATTGCATTCGACTCATAGGTTTTCTGCCTCTGTAAAACAAAAGAACAATTCAACAAACTTACAAAAAGTGCATTACCTATCTTCCAGCTTAGAAGTAACTCGCTGTAGGATCTGTGTGGCCTGCTTGTGGTATTCCAGCTGGGCTTGTACGAGAGCAGAAAGCTGGCTCACTTGTTCAATCTGAGGATTGACATTAAAACATCAGGTCTTAGGCGAGTACTAACAGCTCAGCAATAGCAAGTAAAGACCACTGTCACACTGACACTGCAAAGGCAGATTTACTTATCTCTCTAAAAACTTGATTCATCCTTGTAGTTCATAAACAGTTATGTATCAGTCTTTATTCATTAGCATGTCTGGTTATGACCTGATCTGGAATGGTAACTGCAACTCTTCTCCGCTGATCATCTTCATGGCTGATTTGCATGAACAGCAGCCTACAGACCTACCTCATTCAGCAAACGCTATGAAAGTAAAAATGAGACTGTAATGAGAGCATAATACACCTTCTTCCTCCCTGCCTTTGAGGGGCACAAAACCATAGGGACTACGGTCATGCTTCTGTTGTATTCTGGCCTGTGAAGCAGACCAAAACAGGAAGATACTACGTATTCTTGGATGCAGAATATTTGTAGTGAAGACAGATAGCATTCTACTTCATGAGGCAAAAAAAAATCCAAAAGTCTTGTGTGGCCAGTGCAATTGCTAGCAGTTGCCGTAATATACAATGCTGCAATGGTGTAATGCAGGCCAGCACTATCTGGCCACAAGGGGTTGCATGTTACTACAAGGGTTAAAACTACAAACTTGTTATACTTCTTTCATTTCTGCACAGCTATATTTAATTTCTAACACGCAAGTATTTTCAGATTTGTTATGGCCCCTCTACAGCAATCTGGTAACAAAATGAAGAATTAGATCAGGTGTGTATTTAAACTTTAAATAAATCCAATCATTTACTTCAACAGAAATATTTAAACTGAGTTTCCTTTGATCACATATTCTGAAAGACAGACTTCAGCTGAAATGTTTTTTTCCTCCAAAAGAGATAAACTTTTATTCTTGCTTGATTTTACAGTTTCAACATTAATTATAAATAGAAGATTAAAAAAACCTAATAGATCCTCAATCCTAAACCAGTCTGTAAGCAAAAAATATGCTGCAGAGTCAGATTTGAGCAGTCACATTAACTTTGGCATTCCTATTCACTATTGCATCTGATTATAGCAGAGACCATGGGGTTGTGAGTTCATTATTTCTGATCTTTACCAATCCTCTCAGCAGCCCACACACTTGAGCAAAAGCCTTGGCTCAAACCCTAAAAGCACAGCTAAGTAGAAGTCATGATTTACATTTACATAATTCTAAGAAGGAAGATATTTTGGTTTTGTAACACTATGCAGTTAGGAAGCACAACGATGATACAGAGGATTTATGTTCTTTAGCTCAGTTACCTATAAAATACCTATAAAATTAGTCCTACACGTGCATGCTGTACATTACTATAGCTTCTGAGCCTCTCACTGAGTCCACCAAGGAGGCAAGTGCTTCCCTATTGTACAGTGACAGGAATCTGTGGCGTCATGGATTTAATAAGGCTTTCAAGTTTTAGACTGCTTCAAACTGCCTTCACTGCTGAACTGATCTTTCTCTTTTTAAGATTCAGCTCAAAGATTAACAAGGGATATCTCACATCCATCTCCAGAAGGTTGAACATGCTTGACTCAGCAATTTCTTTTGATTCGTCGAATTTTTCCAGAGCTTGGCGAAGTTCTTCATCGGGGAGCTTGCCCTGTCTTTTCTTCTTGTAATCAAAATCTAGGCGTCGACCCTCCATTTTCTTTAGGTGATGCTAAAAAACAAAAATGCAAACACAAGCACAAAACAAAGGATGTTCCCCAACTCTCCTTATACTGCATTGTAATCAGGTAGTCCATGTACATTTGCAAGCATGTGCTGTTTGCTGTGTATCAACCCTTCCCCAGAGGGGACATATACAGAACAATGAAGTAGGTGGTTTTACATATTACATGAGAAGCCATGGTGCACTGCTGTCTAAGTGACAGACCTTCAACATTAAAAAAAGGCCACACAGAATGGATAGCTGCAGTTGCCACCTGTATAAAAGATACGTGAGTTTCTAGCTTTTTAACTCTGATGCAGAATTACCTGAACACTATGGTTTTCCCCTAGATGTTTAAGAGAAAACTCTATTAGAAGCACAAGTTAGTACATTTTTGCCTGTGTAACATTTCTCATAAACAAAGCAACAAAGAAAATATTTTATCATTTCCATCAGACCACCAAAGGACCTTAATGTTATCTTTTATTAAAGATTTTCTAGTTTGTTAACTGACGTGACATTCATATTAATCTGTTAAGCAGCTGCCACATCAAGCTGGCCAAAAGTTAATGTTACCAGCACAAGCATGAATACTTTAGGTGTTTACTTTCCCTCAGAAGAATCAATTTGTCATCTATTATAATATTTATAACTTTGTCAACTTTGTAAATTATATCAAACTGCCTAAGATATCTTTCTTCCACATATATTTAACAATATGAAAGCCTTACTGAGCTCAAAACAGTTACACAGATAAGCATTTGCTGAATTGGGAGTCACTTTTACTTCCACAATTATAAAATTAGGTTGTGTCTACAGAAGTATGCATGCAAACTGATTTTTCTCTGTAAATGCTGGCTGGTTCTTGGATTACTAATTATGTAATTCATGCAAGAAAACAGTGTTTGTGTTCAAAATTCCTGGAAATGTTTCGGACACAGTCTTCATACAGACAAAAGAGTAGTGCCAGTCTAGAGGCAACTCTCAAAATGCCCTCACATGTCATACACCAGAAAATTGAATGTAAACATCTGTTCTCTATTTAGTGAAATGAGCTTTCAAATGGTAGGATTAGAGTACTGTGTTCATGCCGGCATAAGCTTGACAATGCTACTGTCAAAAAATGTTAGAATTTTGATCTTTCCCTTTCTAAACCATCAACAAGAGACACAGAACTGAAAAGTAAAACTCAAGTCAAAAGAGACTAAAATCAGATCATCTGCAAATCTGAAAGCCCATTTTGAACTACATAACTAACATAAATTTTGAACATATACACAGTCTACACATTTGGCATTCTTAAAATGCCACATTGAGGGCAATACCTGTATTTCCCTCAGATCCTTGTCATGGAGATTCTGAAGTGGGTCAATGAAGTTTTGTTTCACTTCCATGTCTAAAGAGTCCTTGACCTCAGAGAGCTCCTTCATAGCTTCTCCCACATCTGCAAGTGCTGGTCCTGAAAGAAAAGATGCCCAATTTATCTCAAAAAAAGCTTAGTTCCAAATTACTGTAGAATGAAACCAAGTCATGGAAATTTCAGTTAACATTTAATTTTAAGTCTCAAGTTTAGGAAAGAAACAGCGTATGATGCACTGTGTGAAAGGGCAACATGGATTTTACACTTTTGCAGCCCCCAGAGTTTATGCCTTGTAACACAGCTGAACTTGAGGATCTACACTGCATCAAGATAGTCACCTTGTTATCCGTTCATTCCTCACTCTGGTGAAACAAACATGCTAGAAAAGAATTATCTGTATTTGCTCCAGTGTTGCCATCACCAGACACAAGACCGCATATAAAAATAAGTCTAATGCAAGTCTAGGTCTCCATGTTTGTATCAGTGAGACTGGTGACAGTATCAAATGTAAAAATTCTTAACAATTTCACAGAATTTTTTCTTTATGAAAGATTTTTTTGATGAAACTCTTGACTTCATACACCTACTCAAGTTCAAAAACTTCAATAAGAATTACCTGCCTTCTGAGATTTCCTCCAAGATTAACTTGAGGGCCACAAAAATTACCACTCTTGTTTACCTCCTCTGCATAAAAACAAAAGCAAGAAACTCAAAAATACCCTCCTGGTTTGAGATGTAGGTTGGTGGAAAAAAATCCACTTTCAAAGAATATGAAGGGTCTGAAAACCTAAAAATGTGAGAAATCAGAAGGAGCTTTGTCTCCCAAGCAGGGGATGCCAGCAATGCACTGCAAAACTAGAGAGCCTGCCAGACCTAGATGAAGAGTGACGAACAGCCATAATAGCTGCTATTAGTTAAGAATGTGAAAATAATTGCCATATCTACTCTGCTGCATGCTACTGCAATCATCAGGGAATATACAGCAATTTGCACAAACTAAATTCTGTTAGTTCTTCATTCTCCCTTTAAAACATGTTTGAAATTTAGTAAATGAGAGGCAACCAATTAAAAAAACAATTCAGTCGTCTTTAGCACAAATCAACCTACATCTGCCAAGCTAACTAGTAAATTATATAAAACAAACAAGAAAGTACCTTTCTATTGCAGATGTCTTTATGGCAGGAACAACGTTTTATGAAGATTCCAATAGGAAATAGAATTTTCACAGTCCTATTTGAGGGTCCCGTGTTTTGCCATATAAAAATGGCCACAGAGAAGCCCACATAAATAGGACAGAAAGAGAAAGGATCCTGTCGTGAATGTTGTCTCTTAGTTAGACCTCTACTGTTGAAGCACACAATGTTAAGTCTCAGTATAACATTTCTAACTCAGGCAGCTGTAAACTCATTTGGGGCTTGGAGGGAGGAACAGCTGACAGGTAAGACAGGAGTATTCACTAGTGCCTTAAAATGTGGAATTTGGTCAGAAAAAAAGGTCTGAGTCTATTAAAAATCTATTAGCCTTTATTCCTTGCCTGTAATGAAGACAGTAACATTTACTATAAGGATTCTGAGGACAAAAGGGTTTCATTGTACACATGCATAGACAATAATACAATCTCTGAACAGGTACATCTTTCATCCCAACACATCCCCAGTAACATGATCTATGACAGTGAGCCTAAAACCTATATGGGTATGGGTCCAAATGGAAACAATACGAATTTAATCCACAAGAAAAAAATCTCTAGTCCAAATTCGCAACAGATACTCAACGGGCCTAGACCAACCTTAAAGGAGGAGTCTGATGAAGCAGAACGCCAATACTTCTTGCAGAAGTTCTTCCTTTATAAGACCGCAACACTTCAATAATCAAAGTTATATTAAATTTTACTACCATTTTTATTGCATAATAACAGAAAGGGAAGTAATCAAGTTACCAAAGTTGCATTCTTCTCCAAGTTCTCGCCCAAATTTCAGCATCGCATCTGCCAGCAAGGCTTCAGCCTGAGGGTAACCTGGTCCCTTTTCCTGGCCTCGAATTTTTGACATAGTGTTGATCATGCTGAGTTTAGCTCTGGAAGCTGAAGCAGGCAAGTGACAGAGGTTACAAATGCGCAATAGTTTGACTACACAGACAGGAATGCACTCTTTAAATTTATCTGAGCTACCTACAACATATTTGAAGGACATTATCTAAGTTTAGGACTAAGCCCTATTTTTCATCAATTAATTTTAGAGCAAAGGAATTAAATGTTGTTGGTCACTGATTTTTTTCTTCTGCTGGTAGGCTAGAGAGAAGGCTCTGTCCTGAACTTTAAGTCAAAGTTTCCCTTGAAATGACTTGGACAGAAGAAAGTCCAGGAACACTCCCAAGATAGCATGTTTGACACGTGCTACAACTCAGGTAGAAAAATCTTTAAACTATCCCCAAATTCTTAATCTTAAAATCGTCAGGTACCAGATGGATAGCAGATTGAGCCAGCCTTTCTCTCAAGGAGAAGTCCAGACTAGGTACACTCAAGATTAAACTGTGGTGCCCCACACTTTTTAAATGTTTGAAAGTTTTTCTGTTGTAGAATATTAAATAAAACCTATGTCCCCAAACATGATGTCCAATGACCTTTGAAACACTTTTTGCTTTTTATGCGGATTTGGGGAAACTCCTACTTCAATAAGGTTTTCAATTGTACTTTAGCTTGTATTTTATTTCAGATACACAACTGCAGACCAGAAGAAAACACACAATTATCATAATTGATGAAAATAAAGACAGCAAACATAAAAGAACTAATTTGTTTGATGATGTGCTTTAGTGAATTTTTGCAACTACAGAATGTGAATGGCCTACAGAGAATGAATTAATTAATGGCACTTGACTTCAAATTTTGCCAGCTAAACCCTATTGCCAGCAAAGCTGACTCTGTGGGTGTTTCTACCTATATTATTGTGTGTGCTACAAGAGGGCAGCTATGAATGCCTCTACCTTCCTCCTTGCAAAGGCTTGACTTTGTTAGTTGCTCCTATGAGTTAGTATTTCTGTTTACAAAACATTAGTAGCTCACACTGTTGTGTGCTGATTTCATTGGTCAAAACTCAACCTTGCAAACATTTCTGCAACAAAACAAAACATTAGCAGACTGAAGTCAACAAGTGTTTTGCTCTTAATTTATTGTTGAAAGTACGTATCAAGAGATGGTTTTTGTTGCCGAGTGTGTTTCACTTTGTGGCATAGAAATGTATGTACAGACATAGACACAGAAACAGACACAGGAAAATCAGGCAAGTGTCATAGTACTTATTTTGCCTGAGAAGCAGCTAGGAAAGGATAACATCTTTTAACATATAGTAATTATGTTTTTGTAAGCTTTCTCACTACTCTTGAGTGCCACCAGATCATGCTTTTCAGCATCTGAATTTCTTGATGCCTTCTGTTTCTACCCACCACAAAACTACAGTCAGCAGACTGGTTGACTGCTCAGTGTAAGAAACTGCATTTTAATGAAGTGTCTGTCCTTTAAAAATGGCATCGAAATGATGGTGGCAATGGGAAAATATAGAAGCATAACAGAAACTAAGGGACAAACAAAATCAGTCAGGGGAATGGAGGCAGCAAGCTGAATTAAAACAGGAACAAATGGCAGTATTTTCAGAAATAAAAGGAAAAAAAGTAAGAGGGAATATTAAAAAAATGAGTGGCTATATTCAGGACAGGCAAGTTAAGAGTAGAAAGCAAAAGGTCCAGGAAAGAATGAAGGAGATGAAAGGACAATAAGGGAAGGGCAAGAAATAAATCATAAAGAGAAGAAAGGTAAGCATGAAAAATTCATGCTTCAATTATTTATCTAATCATTTAATAATGATTACATTAGAATCCTGATTTAGTAGGAAATCTTAGAATACATCTACCAGTGGTCTCATTCCACTTTTCTTCTTTAACAGTTGATTTGCCACTTCCGTGGCAGCAGAGGTAAGTTTGTGCTCAGTTAATCTCAAAATTCCATCCTGAGCCCCTTCATTTCTATTGCTGTATTGTGCTAGTGCCACATGCTTTCTTCTCTAAGTTATGCTTCAGCCTGAGTGAGGACAGGCAGAGAGGTACAAAACACCACATGGAAGTGACCTGAATGCTTGATTTTTTCCCCAGTTGCACTCCCCCTCCTTTACATTGACTTTCATGATGTCACTAATGGTTCACCTTAATATTAAGTGTTAACAGAGCCATGGCAAATCATAAAAATACTGCCAAAAGCCTTCGAAAGAAACTTCAGTAGTGGGTTCAATTGCTCATTCTTTGTACTTTCAATCTTGTTCATCCTGCACTTCTTTTTCTTGAAATTATGGACATGTACATCTGCATGCAAAGTCTTTGAGCCTTCATCACGTTCAATTTTAGTTATTTTCAGCTCTCCTTCAGCTTTTTTCGTAACTGAGAACTCTACAAAGCTTTTTCGTTCACACTAACCTCAGCCCAACATCCCTTTCAATAAATTCACCTTTGTCTTTAATATCCTTTTCCCTTCCCTTCCCTTCCCTTCCCTTCCCTTCCCCTTTTCCTTTTCCTTTTCCTTTTCCTTTTCCTTTTCCTTTTTCCTTCCAGCATTGGTTAATTAACTGTTTAGTGAAGTTAGACAATGCTGCATGCTTCATTTATTAATCCTTCAAAACACCATGAAGCCAGTTGATCCCTAGCACTGCAGTACTGTTATCCAAGCATATTGATGTTTTCAGGGTACATCCTACTCATCAAGGTATGTGTGCTACATCCCAAACCCTCCTCCCCCTACCAAACCCAGGTAAACTTTTAAAGAAAACCTTCTATTAAATATTGCTATTAAAGAAATTTTTTTTATTAAATTTCCCCCCTCTTCCCAATGTAATTTTTCTATTTTTTATGAAAATGAGAAAGCAAACAGGAAATACTGGAAATCAGCATTTTTGGTGCCCCAGGTAAATAGTAATACAGTTGTAGGGAGAATTTTAAAGAGGAAATTTTTTATTTTATTGAAAAAAGAAGTAATTTTCCATGCAATTCTTCTCACTATAGGGAGCCCTTCTGCAACTGGCATAAAACAATCTAAGATCAGGTGAGAGCTGAAAAGAGTCAGTCCTTTCCTCTTACTCCATCTGCTGCCATTGCCCAGCTGTGGAAAGAATAACATGATCTCATTTGATATGCAAGAAAGTAAATCTTCCTCCTGCCTATTACAATTTTAATTTTCTGATCCTACTTGCACATGCCACAAGCAGATGAAGGGATATGTAGCTAGAGTATGGAAACTGTTCTTTCCTGCAGCACTGCAAACTTCTATCAGCCTGAGGTGCTTGAAATCACACCCTTAGCTACTTCCAGAAGTTTTGCTTTCTGCCATTGCTGTGAGCCTCCTTCATGATTCACAGCAATCATAATCACTCAGATGTGTCAGGAAGGCAGACAGAGAAGCACTAAACAGCCAAAGCTTGTTACTCAGTCTATATGATGTTGCACAACAGCAGCTTGACAGTAGTTAACAATTTTACCACTAGTCCCATAATGTTTGTCAATCCTATTGCTTTTCCTGCAGAGTGCTTGTTGACGATGAGCAATGAAGCTGTGGACTCAAGTCATAAACAATATTTCATCTGTTGACATAGAAACTGTTCTAGTCATCATTATTTTCTCTCTAGCAGTTCTTGAACTTTTAAATATTATTCCTCCTTTTTTCAAGCCACTGGCAGCATCATCAAATTATCCTCCTTTCCTCTGTGGTCTAACATAAAAATATCACCAGTTAAGCTCTATCAGCAACAGTCCTTCATCCTACCACACTGGAGTTAAAATATTTCACATCAGTTCAAATTTGTTTCCAGCTATTAGGAAACAAATTCCTCACAGTGAATGAGTGAATTTGGTCTGTACTTCCATGAAACTCTAAGATACTTATGGTATGTAGAGGGCTTCATTTTACCTTCATGCTAACTTCGCACAAGCGTAACTCCGTTCGACCGCATCAGTGAAGCTGGCATTGACTTATGCTAGTATCAAAACCCTTATGTTCCTAGATCACTATGGAAATCTTCAAGCTCCTGAATTTAATGGTTTACTTGATTATAACAGCTCCAGATCACCCCTCCTTGTGAGGATCCTTTAGCAAGAAAGGAGCATGCAGCCCTCTATCAGCCCAATCACAAAACCTTTCTTTCATCTCCCCATGGAAACCAATAATTTCTTTCTATTTTGAAGGTTCAATTTAGTCATCTCTGATGACATCCATTTATCTGCCCTCTTCTCCAGTTCAACATCAACAGCTCTTTTGTTTGTACCCTCCCTTTTGTAGTAACTCTAATGAGGATGGGAAATCACTAGAAGACCAGGTGAAAGGTGTTGTTACGTCTCGTCCTGTGCCCTGGAGGAAGTTGCTTCAGAACTTTGTCTTTCTTTCCATGGTCTACAAGGACTGGCTGGTCCTTTTCCCTCACACAGGGTGAATGACTGGGACTGTAGAAGAAAGAGGTGTCTCATGTAGACACTCTCACCGTGCCTGATCCTGATCCCCACCCGCGGGCTGATTGCCTGGTCTCAGCCTGTCCCCATACCCAGGGAGGTGCCTGATGCCCAGGGCTGCTGCTGCCCCAGTGCCCCCTGGCCACCCTGCTCCTGGCTGGAGCAGTGGGATGGGCGCTGGCTGCCAGGCCCTGCCCTGATGCTCCTGGGGAGTCCACAGCCATCTCCAGCTCCCAGGGAGCCCCTCAAGCTCACAGTGCTGACATTCAGATGCCTGCAAGTAAATACACCTGGTTTCTAGGCATATGCTGCCCCCTTACCTAAAGCAAGAACACACAAAAGGAAAACAAGCCTCCCAAAGACAGTCATCATTCCCCCTGACAGCTTAACATAGAAGCCTGTATTCATCTCTGTCTTTTACTGCATGGTAACTTCACCAATTTTGTGTTAATCCTAACTGCACCAGTGAGGATAAGACCTGTCAGACTACACATTGGTGAGAAAGAGTATTTTCACAAAGTGCTACAAGTACTGTGAGACTGTGAAATTACATTACCTGGATTGGGCTGAAGATACTCTATCGTCTTTGCCATTATTTCCATAACTGCCCTGCTGGTAACATCCACTTTCTAAAGGACAGAGAGTTAAACAAAAAAAAACATGAAAAAAAGATGTTAGACAAAAGAAAGATGTTTTTCTCTCTTCTTTTTGTTCTTATAAATTCTTTTAACTCATCTTACAATTTTATTTTCGTGTCTCTGAGAACAGCCCTGGTACCAGAATGCTGATAATACCTGGAAAACTACCAAAGCATGAGTCCACCACCTCAGTTTATAGCAGATCCATTCTCAAGGGAGGCCATTAGTACAGAGTACCTCAGGTGTGTTAGGAATTTGATATGACTCATTGTACTGTGCTGATACTTTACATCACCCTGGGAAGCATCCACAATAGGGAAAACTTTTTGATAGAACGGTCACTAAAAACTATTTGAAGAATTAGCCATCTTTGATCCCCTAATAACTGGCAAAATGAGGGGATAGCAGATGTCAATCAAAACCAACCACCAACGATAAAATGAGCTGTCTACCTCTTACAGAGCGAGGTCTTGTAAAATTGGGGTAAGGAGAACTAGGTATCATTCCGTTTGCAATTTCAAGAAACCTATCAGCATGGACACACTGACCATTTATTTCCCCTGGCTGACTCCATTACTCTATATTTAGGAATTTGAAATACTTAGAACTGAATAGCATTACTTTCTTCGACTGTAATAGGAATTCTTGCTTTCTTAAGAAGTACTCCGCAGCAGGTTCCTAAGCTGCATATAGCAAAGTATGCAACTACTCTCCCTCTCAGAATCAGGCCTCAAAGAAAAAAATGCTGCTGTGGCAGATTCAGGGATCCCCGTAACCTGTCCTGTACACTGCATTTATGAAGACATGCTGCATTTCTCTGCAGGGTAGCTTGTGTCCCACAGACTGAACTCCTTTACCATAACGGCAAGTTCCTATTTTAAAAAAGAACACCTGAGATAGGTTGGTTGCAGCACGCTGTGACTGACCTCTTTCCTGTTTCCTGTTGCCACTGCCATCTGCCAGGTCTTGCTCTATGCTTTACACAAACAAGCTGAAGAGGTCTGCCAGTTCTGGGTGAGTAAGTAGCTGAACTGCCTGGTAGGAAGCCCAGAAATGGCTAGAAGGCTGCAGAGGAGAGTGGGGGCAAGGAAACAGAAGGCCAGGGATAGGCAGAAGGCAGAAGTCCACTGCCTGCAGAAAAGCTGGCAAGGGACACGGGGCCAGGCAGGGAGCGTGGAGGCAACTGATGAGTTTACTCCATTCTCTTCTCAACTCTTAGCGCTCTTATCTCCTCAGCTGCCAACCCATGCCGCCCACAAGCACTACGTGGGACTCACCCCTGGGTGTCGCAATGTCCTATTTTCCACTCTAAACCTTGCATCAGCTTTCTTAATCTTTGTTAACATCTTCCAGTTTTGACAGCAGTGCATATACTTGCAGCACATTCAAAGGGAAGCTGGGCAGAAGGACAGAAACCAATTCTGCAGTACTTTCGCTGTAAGAAGTACAAAGGATATGCCCTTCTCCTTTATTTTCCATCCAAGGTTTTTCCCCATCTCACTATACAAATGTACAGATAAATAGCTTCTGTTTCTCTTGATCAGAGTTATATATCAGATACGTGCCCTACAAATCACCTAGCACTAGCTTGTGTTACAAGATTTGATAGTACCTTTCAAAGTCGAAGCCAGAAAAAAACTGCCCCTACTGATCCTTCCAATTGAAATATTATCACCACCACACACAGCTGTAGCTTTTTTTTTCCCTCCATAGAAACAGTCAGTGCTACCACTGCCAGCATCACCAAGTAGTCTGTTGGGGGGTTAGCTCCATCTACCCAAGGCACTTTGCCAGTGGAGGCTGCCTAACAGGATCTCTGAACTTACGAATGAATATTCCAGTGCACTGTCACCCCCCTTCAGCACACAGCTCTTGCTCCTCTTGACTGATGCTCAAGGAGCTGAGAATTACAGGCACCCTTTGCCACTGAAATGACCATCTTGTAGATGGACTTTCAGTGTTGTAGTATCTCGGTTAGCGATAGCCTTGGCTGCAGTGATCACAATATTGTGGAGTTTGGTATCCTGCTGAGCATGCTGAAGGTTAGTACTAAGACAAAGGTTTTAGATTTTAGAAGAGCAAACTTCAGCTCACTCAGAGCTCAGTTGGGAGGGATTCCACGGGAAGCTTCCATGGAGGATAAAGGAGCTAGTGAGTGCTGGGAGTTTTTCAAGAATGCTCTCCTGGAAGCACAAAAACACTTCATCACCTTTAAGTAAGCAGAGCAAGAGACACCCTTGGCTTAACTGCGAGCTTCTGAGTCTGCTCAAAACCAAAAGAGAACCGCACCAGAGATGGAAAAGCAGATGAACACTCATTGAGAACTACAAGGGCATTGCCAGGGCGTGCACAGGTGCAGCTAGAAAAGCAAAAGCTCAGCTCAAATTGAAATTGGCCAGAGATGTCAAAAACTACATGTGGTTTTTGACCTACCCTGAAGAAAGGGTTCTTCAGGTATGTAAACAACAAACAGAAGCAGAAGGAAAATATTGGCCCACTGTTAAACAGGAGGGGTGAATTAGTCATCAACAACGCTGAAAAGGCAGAGGTTCTCAACACTTCCTTCACCTCTGTCATTACCAGCACTGTTGGACCCCAGGCCTTGGGAGCAAAATTCCAGGTTGATGCAAACACAGACCCACCGTCAGTGAAGGAAGAGTTGGTATGTGAACTATTAGAGGAGCTTGACCCCTACAAGTCGATGGACCCTGACAATATGCACCCGAGGGTGTTAAGAGGGCTGGCTGAGGTTGTTGCAAGGCCGCTCTCCATAATCTTTGAGAAGTCGTGGAGAGTGGGGGACATCCCAGGAGGCTGGAAGAAGGCTAACGTCACCCCCATCTACAAGAAGGGCTTAAAGGAGGATCCAGGAAATTATAGGCCCATCAGTCTTACTTTGGTCCCTGGGAAAGTTACGGAACGAATCCTCCTGGGGGCTATCACAAGTC